CTCTAATACCCTCTCATGCCCCACTGCCCACCCTCTAATACCCTCTCATAACCTACTGCCCACACTCTAATACCCTCTCACAGCCCCACTGCCCAATATACCTTTGAATTGAATTCCCTTATATTTTACGGACTGAGGGATGATTTGAGGCAGTTAAAATATTAGATGATTTGGAAAGGGTAAATGGAGAGAGATTGTTTCCTCTTTTTTTATTTATTAATTTAATATTCATTTTTTTTATCTGAGGGGACAGAATCTGGAAGCAATTCCTCACACAAAAGGTTAAAGGAAATTTGGAACCTTCCTACTGAAAGGTTAGTTGGAATTTTTAAGGCTGAGGTAAATTGTTGGTAGGTGAAGGTACCAAAGGATGACTAAAGAGGGGGCAAGGGAAGCACACAGATCAGCTAAGATCTGTATTGAATGTAGGAGCATTCCCGAGGGGCTGAATGGCCTCCTTGTGATCGAACGCTGATATTTTCTGCATTCCCCAGGCCCCCTCTGACACACCATGACTCAAATGCGGCCTCTCTCACCATCTTTGGTTCTTGTCTTCACCTCGAGGACATCAGCTTTCTCCAGCGCCAGCTCATCAGCTTCCCGGGGTTTGTAAGTCTTGACACACTGGACCTGAGGAATGTCTGGGATGAAAGATAACATGTTAGCAGCTGGGTGCATGGGTTGCAAATAGAGTCTTAAATCTGAAAGCATTCCGTGTGTACCATGTGCAGAAGCCATGTGCTATTGAGGTTAATGGGGGAAGAGAATCAGGCCACAGTCACCAATTCTATTCCACAACAAAAATGTTGCATTTATATAGCACCTTGCATGACCTCAGGATGCTCCAAACTGCATTACTGGTAATTAACGTACTAACGTAGTCACCTCTGCTGTTATGTCAGACAGACAGCAGCTGACCTGCGCACAGCAAGATCACAAGCGCAGGAATCAGTAACTGACCAGATGATCCGTTCTGGTGATGTTGGGTTGATAGGTAATTACTGGCCCATGCACCATGAGGAACTCCCCTGTGTTTCACCTCCATCCTTGACCAGGGCAGACGGGGCCTCGGTTTAACATCTCGTCTGAAAGGTGCCTTTGACAGGGCAGCGTTCCCTCAGTGCCACGCAGCAGCATCAGCCTGAACTTTGTGCCTAAGTCTCCAAAGAGAACAAAGAACAATACAGCACAGATACGGGCCCTTCAGCCCTCCAAGACTGTGCTTCCACAGTTTGTCCTTCCATACTAAAACTGTCTTAATTTACAGGATCCATATCCCTCTATTCCCTTCCTAATCATGTATTTGTCCAGGTGTTTCTTGAATGCTGCTACTGTGTCTGCTTCCACCACCTCCTCTGGCAGCGTGTTCCAGGCACTCACCACCTTCTGTGTGAAAAACATGCCTTGGACATCTCTTGTAAACTTGCCCCCTCCCACCTCAAACCTGTGTTCCCTAGTAATTGACCCCACCACCCTGGGAAAAAGCCTCATACCTTCCTCTCTATCCATGCCAATCACAATCTTATAAACTTCTATCAGATCACCCCTCAACCTCCCGCATTCCAGTGAAAACAAACCCAGTCTTCCAACATTTCTTCATAGCTAAAATCCCCCATAACAGGCAACATCCTGGTAAACCTCTTCTGTACCTTCTCCAAAGCATCCACATCCTTCTGGTAGCATGGTCCTACATTTCAACTTTCTTCCTAGTTCTCTATATTCTGCTCTTAGGACCTCATCCCTATTTTTACCTATGTCGTTAGTACCAACATGCACTACAACTGTTGGCTGTTCGCTCTCCCCATCCAGAATATCCTGAAACTGCTCCGAGACGTACAGGACCCTAGTGCCAGGATAGCAACACACCATCCTGGACTCTTATTTGCGGCCACAGAAATACCTATCTATTCCCCTTACAATTGAATCCCCTATAACTATAGCATTTCTATGCCTATCTCTCCCTCCCTCTGCAGCCGGGCCAACCATGGTGCCATGAATTTTCCTGCTGTTGGTATCCCCTGAGAGGCCATTCGCCTCAATAGGATCCAAAACACTATCTCTGTTTTGCAGGGGAATAGCCACAGGAGATTCCTGCACCACCTGCTTAGCCCTTAGCTCTGCCTGGTGGTCACCCATTCCCTTCCTGCCTGTGGAGTCTGAGTGTGCGGTGTGACCACCTCTCTATATGTGCTATCCATGACACTCTCTGCCTCGCGAATGTCCCCAGACACTGCTCCCACTCCGAAACCAGGGGCTTCCAGGAGCTGCAGTTGGAGACACTGGAAATGTGCCCTGCTTCCTGCATCGAGCAAGAGGAGCAGAATACGATTTGGAACTCTCCTGCCATGCCTTACTGCTTTAAGTTAGTTAATCCTTACAATGTTAAATATTTTTAATACTAAATTGTAGTTTCTGACGCTCCCTGCTCCAATAACAATTTCTCAAAACTTACCTGTCACTCACCAACACCAGTTTCCAGAAATAGTTTAGGCTCGTGCTCCTTTCCCCACTTGAACTCTCGCTGCTGCCCTTCCTCTCATGATGTTCTGTCTCCTCCGAACCTTGCCTCTCCCAGGATGGGTCCTGGACCATGGAGGTTCTACTCAGAGGCATGAGTGAACCCAACTGGGAAAAGACTGCTGCACGGGGCTGAATTTTCCCAATGTCAGTTTTCCTCACCTCGAGAGATTTCCCCTACGTTAAAGGGAGTTTGGAAATGTAAAACCATTTGATGTTAGTTGCGTGATGTATGCATCTATAGATTGATCCTGTCCTCAGATTACCCAACAGAATGGGAAAGCTTCGGGGTTAATTAAACCACGCGTTTTAAGACCAAATGTTTCCATTTTATTATGTTGAAGGTGCTATATAAGTGCAAGTTGTTGTTGCAAGTGAGTTTCCAGCAAGTAGCCTCAGCTCACCTATATGAGTCTCACCTATGGGGAAATTATCATTGTACCAGCCACAACTTTCCTTGCATTAAACATTGGCAGTGTACAATGAATATCTCAACATGTACAGAGAGCCAACATGGCATCAGCCATTGGTACAAGCTCAAAACACCATCCTGTGTACATGGTGCACGAATCTCACCATCCTTCTCCAGTCCGACATGTTCTGTGTCAATCCCTTTGTCTGCGAGGAGCATGGCTGTTATCCATCGTTGCTTCTCACTCCTGCAAATAGAGGTGAGAAAAATACAATGGATTTCATAAGTGAGCAGGATTGGGTACACGGGTTCTGTATGTGAGTAAGATTGGGTACATGGGTTCTGTATGTGAGTAAGATTGGGTACAAGGGCTCTGTAAATGTGCATGATTGGGTACGCAGGTTCTATATATGAGCAGGATTGGGTACGTGTGTTTTGTATATGAGCAGGATTGGGTACAAGGGCTCTGTATATGAGCAGGATTTGGTACACGGGTCTGTATATGAGTAGGATTGGGTACATGGGTTCTGTATATGGGTAGGATTGGGTACATGGGTTAAATATATAAGCAGGATTGGATACATGGGTTCTGTATATAAGCAGGATTGGATACACGGGTTCTGTATATAAGCAGGATTGGATACACGGGTTCTGTATATAAGCAGGATTGGGTCACAGATTCTCTACTTGAGCAGGATTGGGTACACGGGTCTGTACGTGAGCAGTATTAGATGCATTTTGACACACTCTGACCGTTGTATGTTTTAATTCTAGTGCCCCTCCTGCTTGCAGCTTATTCTTATCCAGGTAGCTCAGCAACAACATTTCTCTATTCACCCTTGTCCACACAGTTGTCCAAAGCCTCAGACATGGCTTGGGAAACAACAACTGTATCCCCCCAATCCGACATACACTATCCATTGCTCCATCTCCTCCTCAATCAGGAGACCTTGTTACTCAGTGTATACACTTCAACCTTCCTGAGCCAAGGGAACATTAAGTTGGATTGATTTGTCAGGTTCAGTGCTGAGGGGAGGGAGGCTTCTGAACGGAAGGAAAAAATCCAAAGAATTGTGGAAGTTGGAAACCACAGACAAAAACAGAAACTGCTGGGAAAACGCAGCAGATCTGGCAGCATCTGGAGGGAGAAAGCAGAGTTAACATTTCACGTCCACTGACCCTTTTTCAGAACTTCTTCAGTTAACTCTGATTTCTCTCCACAGATGCTGCCAGACCTGCTGAATTTTCCCAGCAATT